AAATACTGACTCTATATTGAAATGTTTATTGATTAGTTTAACCAAATTTAATATTGTTTTCGAATGAAACTTATTTTTAAAAAATTTAAAATTTAATTTTTATTTATTTAACACGTTTGGTATATCTTTTGGAAATTATTTCCTTTTTCTTTTTACCTTATAATTGTTTTTGCCATTTTAATTGATTTGATCATTTAAAACATATTGAGTTTAACCGAAATTGATGTTCTTGATGATGAGAATTTTTCTGATGATGACAATGTTGCTGAAACAAATTTGGTGGTTACTTTTTCAAATGGAATAATTACACAAAACACTGAACAAAAAGAAATTGAAAACATAATTATTGAGACCCAATCCCAAATTGCTTTTGTAGAACCCGAAAAATGGGCAGAAAATGTTTTGACAAATGATTCTTTTGAGATTGATCGTTTCAAAGAAAACTGTCGAAATTTGAACTTCAAAATTGAAGAATCTATCCTGCACAACCCCAAAATACTTTTCAAATATTATTTTTGTCCCGAAATAATAGATATAATAGCCTTTGGAATCAACCAAAGAGCACAAGATGACAAAAATAGATAATGTGTTTTCAAACCAATACTTCCCAATGAAGTTTTTTGTTTTTTGGGAGTGCTGATTTATTTAGCAGGAATTAAATGGCAATTGCCATTGAAAGATATTTACAACCCGGAAATTGGCGTTCCCTTTGTGCAAATTTGTTTGACAATTACAAGATTTCGGGAAATTTGCCGATACTTCAGATGTGATGACAAAAACAAAAGAGAGGGGTTAAGAAAACAAGGAATTAAAAACAAAGGAATTTTCGAAATCTCGCAAATTTTCGAAAATAACCTCAGGAACATTTCCGATCCCGGAGAATTACTCTGTATTGATGAAAAAATGTCGAAATTTCTTGGGAGAGCACACGACAAAATTTACAACCCCATGAAACCGATCAAAAGAGGGTTTGAGTATTTGTTATTGGTTGATACAAAAACCAACATTTGTGTGAACATGTTTCAGTTTTACAAAGGGTGTGTCGAAGGAGATGGTAATATTGGGAGAAAATTGGCAAACAAACTTATCTAAGAAATCAAAAAAGAAGAAAAATCTATTTATAAAATACAAATGGATTCACGATTTATAGAAATAGATTATTTGCAAAAATGGAAGGAACAAAACATTGAAGTTATCGGGACAGTCAGGAAATCAAAATTATTGTCAGAAAATTGGAACCAAAAAACAACCCCCAAAGAGCAAGAATACAAAACAATCAAAAAAGAGATAAAAAAAGCAGAAAAAGCGAAAAAACCAAAAAAAGAAGTTGAAGTTGAAGTAAAAAAGCGGGAAACTTTACTTAAAAGGTTGGAAGAAGAAATCAAAGAGGAAAAAGAAAAAAATCCACTTTTTAACAAATTGTGGACAAAAAATGGATTATTTTTAAATTGTTTCAATCCTTCGAAAACAAAAACAGTATCCATTGTTTCCACGTTCTTTGAAAACAAGGGATTTTCTGTTGAAAACGGGAAAACAAATCTAAATTGCCTTTACAACAAAATGAAGTTTCCCGTCGACATTTTCAACTACTTGTGCGCATATTATCCCGTTCCATTTAAGTCAAGCCGATGTACGTTTGCATTGTTCAAAAATATGTTGGAGGTTGGAATGACAAACGTTTATGTCATTTCACGTATTTTTGAAAAGAATCTTGAACACGGTTCGTTTCTCAGAGAACTTGGCAAATCGTTGTGTGAAGAACACGTTGCCAGCAAATTTGAAACACTAGATGAAAAGGACCAAGTGAAAACCGTGTCCACGTTGAAGAATTGTCAAATGGAAATTGCTGAGGCAATGAAAACAGTTGTTAGCGGGGAAAGTGAACGAGGAAAGTGTCTGTCTTGTCTTTTGGCACAGACGAAGAAGAGTAGTAAAAACAGAAGAAACAAAAAAGATGTAAGAACTGTTAAAAAGTGTTTCTTGTGTTACCGACCGTGCTGTAAAAACCATTCGATCAATGTTTGTGATGTTTGTCAAGGGAAAGTTGATATTGGAGACGACTACAAAGAAGTTAGAAAATTTCCTGCTTTTTCTAAGAGGGTAAGGAAACATTACAAAGAAGCAAAAAGAGGTTCAATTCCCGATTGTTAGGGAAGAAGTCGAAAATCTTACTTAAATGACTCGTATTTGAAACTTTGTTTGAATAAGATGTATTGGATATTTTTTCCTGGGTTCAGCTTGGACAGTTTTTTACACAATAAAAATTATGAAAAAAACCAATTTCAAACTTTTTTGACATGAGTAGCAAAAAACAAAAGAAAAAAGTAACAAGATACTAACCAAACGTGTTAATATTATTTTAGAATAGAAGATGATATAAAAATATCGATAATATAATAAACTGCTAAATTTCCATATCTATTAATATAGTTAATAAAGATAAACTTTTTATAATATATTATATCAATTTAAAATCAGTAATTTGATACATCAAATTATTTCATTTATAAATCAACTTAAATTAATTGATATACAGAATTGAATATTAGACATCTATAAATACAATTATTTCTTTAAAATTAATCTTTATTGAAATATTGAAACAATTTTCTTAATCTAAATACTACACATATGACTATACAACAAGGAGGAGTACAATTCATTTTAAATGTACAAAACACCTTTGTGAATCCTTTTATACCAAATAAAACTAATATATCTTCCACTACGGGAAGCCAACAAAATTTAACAATAACAGAACAAAAAGTTATCAATTTGAAAAACAAATTTAAACGTTTTCCAATGGGTTTTATTGATGAAGAAGATAAAGTTCGAAGCTGGGATGATATAAAAAAATTTGATTTAACAAAAAGAAAGGCCGCACTTATGTTCAAAAAAGAAGAAGAAGAAATGGCTGCTCGTAACCAAAATCAAACAGAAGTTGTGGGACAACAACAAGTGCAATGTCAACAACAAATACCACTTCAACCAAATTTTAATCAACAATTACAAACAATACAAACACAACAACAAGTTGCCCAAAATAGCATTACACCGGGTATAAATGTATCAAGTCATCCAAGTGTGAACCAAACTGTGTTACATTTACCTTGTACAAATTTAAATCTAAACAATTATTCACAACAAACACAAACTTCTTTATATAATACATTCCCTCTACAAACTAACATTACTTTTAATAACAATTTGTTTAATCCTCAACACCGCAACAAATTTACAAAACACTATTAGTTGCACAAACAGTACAAACACCCAATATTCATATCTATATAACACCAATTTAACTAATCAACAAACCACAACACCTAATGTAAATCAGATGACTTCAATACCAAAATTTACAAATTTATTTAATTCGGGTGCTTCAAGTCTTCTAAATTCTATTTACCAAAATATTGGGACTCAAAGTGGTAACACAAATTTAAATCCAAATTTCTATGCTGTACAACAAAATGTTATGATTGTTAATGTAGATGTCTTAATGCAAAAATTCCTCAAAACAAAAGCGAAAGAAAATTACTCGAAACAGGAGTTGGCATTTAAAGAAATGGAATTTGATGATACAATATTGGAAAGAAAAGAATATGTATTTCGAAAAGCGTGTGTGTTAAATAAAATTGAAAAAATGGAGCGACCAAAACTTGACGAGGTCGTGGCAACTACACAAAACCAACTAAAAATCATCAGAGAAATAAAAACAATTGAAGAAACAGAAAATAAAAAGACAAGTCATTTGGAAAAGGAAATTAACACTAATATCGACGTGATTATAAGTTCGTTAGATAAAGAATTAAATAAAATGGAAAAATTTGTATGTACACTTAAAAAGAAATGCAAACAACTTTCTTATCAAATCACAAAAGAAAAAGTTGTAGAAACGTGTTTAATAGCACAAAAAGAAATAGAAACAATTGAAAGCAAAGTGTGTGTAACTGATAATGAGATGGATAAAATGACAATGAAAATTGAATGGACGAAAAAAAGCAAATGGAAAAACATAAAACTGATTCAAGAAGAATAATTTAAATAACATGAAAATAAAATTGAAAATGTTATGTTTATTTTTGAAAGTTCAACAATTTTATAATACAAACAATTTTTTTATGTTTTTTTCACCAAAATAACAATTAATTTTAATAAAATATATAAAATATAAATTGTGAATATCTTTTGTATTTAATTGTTATTAAAAATGTGATTTAGTACAACAATACAAATTTAATTTAAAATCACCGATTTATTATAATACTATTTGTTTTATTTTGACATACTAAAATAAACAACCGTTCATACCAATTCATTTGACAATTTGAGTAAATGTTCCAGCACTGTTGTTATTGTCATTCTGTTCGCTTTATTAAAATCCCAACAACCCCGAATCAAGCAAAATTCATTGTTTGTAATGTCTGGACGAATAACCGGGTGTTTTCCATTCATGACAAACTCAGCTATTTTCCAAGGAAACTTAAACTCTTCTTTTGGGTAAGCTTCTTTCCATGAAAATATCTCAAACATGGTAATACCAAATGAATAGATATCTGCACTTTTTGTGTATTTTTCTTGTTTAAGAACTTCAGGAGCCATATAAACAGGTGTTCCAATACCTTTTGTGAATGTCATATTCGTGAGCAACAAATTGACGTTTCTGGCACTTCCAAAGTCAGTCAGCTTTGCGTTTACTTTCTGATTTAAATCCAAAGAAAAGACAAGAATGTTGTCGGGTTTGATGTCTCTGTGTAATATCCCATTCTCGTGTAAATAAGAAATACCTTTTGCTGCATTTATGAAAATTGTGATTCTCAATTTTATATTCACTTCACTTGTTTTTATGCGTTTCATTAAATCTTGCAAACTCCCAAAATCAGCAAATTCTGTTATAATAGCAAAGCGTTTTTCAAACATCACTGCTCCATAAAAGTAAACTATATACTCACTTCGAAATTTGTCTAACATATCAACTTCAGCTTCAAATTCTGTTTTGCTTTTATCATCCATCGCCTGTGTTTTAACCTTTTTGATAGCGACTGTATTTCCTCTAAAAGTGCCTTTATACACAACACCAAATGAGCCTTCGCCAACTATTAAATTTTCTTCAATTTCTTCTGGATCAATTTTAGTTGATATTTTCGTAGTTACAAACATGGGGAATGAAATTTGATTATTTTCATGACTTTTAAATTCACACGTTGTAATGACCAACTTTTCTTCTGCTGTAAATGAACAAAGTGGGCATATAAATAATGAAAATTCGCAAGCTTCTCCCTTTTCTAAAATGATTAACTCGGGGTTAGTACGTATAGTGTATTTCTCACATCCAGTCTTCGCACTTAGTTGCACTTTAATTCGTCCTTTAGTCAAATTGCCAAGACAAAGAAGTTCTTTTGATTCGACACAAACGTCAATTTCTTGTTTTTCGTCGTCTGGGAATACCAATTTATTTTTGTTTGAACAAATGGACGATGAAAGTTTCACTATAAAACGAATGTTACTGCGTGACATCTTAAATACACAAACTGTTTTCTCTTGCTCTTTCTTCAATTTGTGGGCTATCATCTTTTTCACTGTAAAATAGAGTGCAACGATCACAACAAAAACTACAAAGAATACAAACAGAAGAACCAAAACAATGAACCACCACACCGCTTGTGTTTCACATGAAGAACCATTTTCGCTTGGTATATGCCAAAAAGTGCATTTGGTGCATTTTGAAGAACGAGATTCAACACAGTTGGTGATTTCTGAAAACAAGACACATTTCTGTGTTTTGTCTAAAACATATTTGTTGGTGCAATATTCACACGTTACAAATTGTTTGCATTTTTCACAGTTGTCTGAACATTTGTGACACTCTTTGTTCTCCAAATAATACCAATCTTCACAAGAAGAACACCCATACTCACTATCAATATTTCCAGAGCATCCAAGTGTCTCATTCTTCAATTTGCAAACACCTGAATACGTCTTAAAGTGTTCTAAATTACATGTTAAACATGTTGTGTTTGTCAAACACGTTTCACACTCTGGAAGACACTTCTCACACGCAAAACTGACTCGATAATATCCATCATTGCAATTTGCACATCCACCAACTATAGACAGTTGTTGACACTTTTCTTTTAATTCATCATTTGATGCACATTTGTTGTTCACGAGAAACGTTGTTTGATTACATGAAATGCAATATTCAGAAGAAGATAGACATTCACCACAAGTATCTGAACACATCTCGCATTTGTAATTTGATGAATAAAACGACTCAGAACACCTCACACACCCAAAATCCCAACTCACTTCACAATTCATTGTTTCCATTAATTCTTCAGTATAATTGTTGCATGTGTTGTTTGATAAAATGTATGGATTTTCACATTCAACGCATTGTTCCAAATTATAATTTACACAATTCTCTACTTTTTGAAAACACGTGGTTTTATTTGTGACGAAACCACCTTCACATATATGACAAAATCCATTCGGTATTGAAATACAATGGTCGACTTTTATACACTTTTCAAACATTTTTACAAACCCATTGGCACATTGTATACATTCATTTTGGTCACAAATATAACAAGATGAATCGTTACTACACTGTAGACATTCATTAGTTTCATTGTCCAAATAATATCCACTGTTGCATGAAGTGACAAACGAATTTGAAGAAGTTAAAGCTTGTTCTTTTTGTTCGCATGTGTTGCCATTTAATATAAAGTTGTGTTCACATATAAGGCACTTTATTTCATTGGTGTTCAAATCTTCTAAACAAGAAGTACAATGTTCTATTTCACAACTTAAACATTCGCTTTCTTTTATATAATTCGATTCAGCACATTGAATAAACTTATCAAACTCGTATATTCCTTTAGTTTGTTCAATTCTTTTACACGTGATTTGTTCAGTAATAATATATTGTTTTTGGCATTGAAAACATGTGGTATTTGAGCAACGATTACAATTGTTTGTACATGCAATGCACATCACTCCGTCTTTTGTATAAAATCCACTCTCACACTTTCACACCCATTCTCATCATAATTTGCGCAATTTGGTATTGATCTTATGCTGGTGCAAACACCTTTATAAAGTCTATACCCAATGTTACATGAAGTACATGTAAATTTCATATCAGATACAAAACCCGAGTTGCATAAATTTTGAGATATCGAAAGAGTAATTGCATTAGTTCCACTCGATGAAACGGTAATTCCTTTGTTATTTTGACAAAAAATACTTAAAGTGTTTGTAATTTGAATGTCAAGACTCAATTCAGAGTCTACAATTAACATTTGATTATTTAAGTAATTCAAGTGTAAATTTGGTTTATTTGTTGCAGATAACATAACAATTCCACTATTCTCTAAACTTAATTCTGTATTTTTTACAATATTCAAATTTATTTTGGATGTAGTGTTTACACTCACTTTTTCAACACTCTGTACACCAGTGAGGTTGTACTTTATATTATTAGTATTTGTATTTTCAATGTGGATTTCTTTTATACTATCAGAACTCAAATTAATTTCACAATTTTCATTTTTGCAATAATCTATTTGAATATCAATTTTGTTCAGTGTTTTAAGTTTCAAATTCATCAATTTACTCATTAAATTTTTTAAATTGAAAACAGTAGTTTCATTTGAAGCTATTATACTTGACATATAGTTCGTGCTCAATGCATTAATAGTAACGTTTGTACTATTAATTGTCAACATTCCACTGAGTGTATCTAAAGAGTCAATTTCACCGAACTTCAATGTGACTTTGTTGCGTGTTTTCAGATTTACTTTTCCTTCAAAACTTTCAATGATTGAATTTTTCCTCCCCATAAACAACTAAATATCCGTTTATATAATTTACTTTTGAAATAACACCAGGGTTGCTCAACGTTTTTCCTTTTTCGATTTGTAAAATTCCGATTATGTCATTATTGTTACAATTAATCAGATTTTCTTGTAAGAACAATTGACAATCTTTACATGGGCAATGCGGTAAAGTAAATACGATGTCATCAATGTCGTATTCATTATGATAATTAGTCGAATTTAAGTAACACTTCACAACAGTCGTATTTATTTCAGCAGACGGACACCATCTCATCAGTTTGTTATCAGCCAAAAAGAAATATTTATTATTCTTAAAATTCAATATGTTTTGCATATCCAATATTTCATGTGAAGATGAAACAAAATCGAAGCAGAAATCGCCACTCACGTTTTCTTCATAATTATAATTATAGAATTTGGGGTATGTCGGGAAGGTGTTTTGCCATACGATGATATATGGTTTGTTTGTTCTCTCTTCATTGATAATAAAAGTGTTTCGCAATTTTAATGTCAACTGTTTGTATGAATGTACAGTGAAGTTACCATTAATAATAACATTTCCCAAATACACGTTTGTATCTAATACCAGACTGATATTCTGTTCCAAATTTTTGATTGCATTAACTGAAAAAGAATTAACATTAACTGCACGACCTATAACTTTGGTGTCTTTTTCCAACAAGTAGATAATTAAAATTTTTGTATGTTGTTATGCCAAAATCCACAACAGAAAATGGGTTTAAAGACAAGTCCAATACAAACTCTGTTTCAAGAAGAGAACAATCGTTTTCAATGAAGCCTCCTGAATATGATCCATTTGAAAAGTGACACTCACAGTCTAAAGTAGAGTCTTTATCTACAATTCTGTATGTGCTCTTCTTGTCATAGAGATATTGACAAACTTGTTTTAATTGCATTTGAGTTGGAGTTAAAACACCGTCATATAACACATTGTTCTTGTCTATGGAACTGCAAGTCAAATTTTGAATAAAAGCTCCATTGTACAACACAAGTGCAGCATTTCTATTTATTACAACATTATTAATTTGAACATTCCCACTTATTTTTACAGGAAATGAATATTGAAGATTATTTATTATTAAAATGTAACCATCTAACACAGTTATCGTAGTTTGTGACACATCCGCTACAAAATTTTGTACTGTAGTAGTGTTTGTCGAAGACACGAAATTCCAGTCATTCATAATGACATTAATATCACTGTTAATTGTAACTCCATTATTTTCAAAAAAGACTTTAGAAATATTCATAAAAGTCACATTGATAGGGTTCAGTGATTTCACAGTTGTCACTCCTGTTCCAAGAATTACAACACTGCCTTTATGTGTATATTTTGTGACCGAAAAGGGCAAACCTCTATTTTCAAGTATTGAAATGTTGAAAACGTAAGCTGGATTGTTGTATATATCATTGGTGTTACGTATTTCTTCAAACTTAGAAAAATGTATTCCAGACACGACAAATCGAGTGTTTTTCATTTCAACCAATTTCACATTTAATGTTGTTTTTGCTAATACTACCCAAGTCGCTTGGTTAGTTGCTAAACAATTTGAATTTATTATTAATTCATCAATATTAAATGTCGCATTCATGTTGATTCGTGGAATTAATGGTCCTGAAATATCACAGTTTGTCAAATTGAAAGTCATTTCAGTGATTCCAGTATCATAATTGTTTGTTTCTGTTTTTGCAATTGTTAGTGATGTCTTTTGATTGTAGAAATCAGCGAAGTTTGAAGAGTAACAAAAGTATCGATAAAGTGAATTTCCAATTTCGATAAATGCACATATCTGACCAATTAAAAAGTTTTTAAAGACTCTGTTGGTGTCATTGTAAGTCCCCATATAATACATGCCACTGTATGTGGCAGCAACTCCTAAGTCTGGAATGACTGTTATTTTATCACTTTTAATAGTAAAAATGTTATATCCAGAATTAAAATCAATAAATAAATATTTATCGAAATTATCACCACTATAAAACACTTTTGGATAGTAATCCATATTTTTACTTGAAAATATTATTTTATCGACAAGCGTTGCGTTTTTCATTTGATTTCCATACAACTTTATTTTCATGTTTTCAGTCATTTTGTTTGTATATAAAAAATATGACTTATTAAATGTTTGAGTTTTGTAAACAATAATGGTGTCGACACTTGTTTCTGTATATATTCCAATGTATATATCAGACTGAACATTTTTAAAAGTTAAAGTGTTTGTATAATTTTCGATTCTGATACTCGGGGAGTTTGAATTGTAATCATAGTTTACTTTTTCATTGTTAATCGTTGAACAAATTGAATTACCTGGATAAAAAGTACCATTGCGTTCATAGTCACAATAATAATATGCATTTGTAATGATTGTTAATATTGTAATCAATAACACATGCATCAAGTAAGTCGTTTTGATTTTTAAATTAGAGCCTTTTCAAAAAAAACCGTTAAAAATCTATTTGATTTTCAACAGTTTTTTTCAAAACTGAGCGAAAAGTTTCAAAAGTTTTCGTTCTTCCCATAGTAATTGGTATGGAATTTATTTGATCAAATCAAAGTTAGTAACTATAATTTATATTAAAAATAACTAAAAATTGATAAATTGTTTTAATTGATATTTAAAATAATTGGAATGGTATTTTTACTAATTGTTTACTTGAAAAAATAGTTAAATTAATAATTCGAAAAACATAAACACAAAAAAACGACAAAAAATTATGATTCGTGTTTAAATTTCGAATTTAACAGTTGGAAAAACAACAGTTGTTTATAATAGGGATGAAGTAAAATGGTGAAATAATTTTACTGAAAATTTATGTTTTAGTAAATTATTTGGTGAAATCATTTCACCAAATAGAACTATAAAAGTTCTTTGAATATTGTTTTATTTTAATGATTTTGAAAATTAGTGTTGTTGTACAATTTTATGGTAAAACATTATAACCATGTTTTGAAAAAAAACAATTTTAAAATTCTATCAATTTTGTAAAAAAACGCAACAATTGGCAAAACTTTTTTATTGTAAAAATGTGTAAAATTCTTAAAGAGGAATATTTAACAATAATTATGTATAAAAATCATGTTTGTGAGTGTATAAATACAATAAAATATAATATCTAAAAAATCAATATTGATGTCCA